TCGGATTCTCGGTTCGTGCTTCCCTTCTTGGGCCTCTCTTGGGGCCGTCTTGGGGCCCTCTCGGACCGTCTTGGGCGCCTCAGGCACCGCCTTGGGGCCCTCGTGGGCCGCCCAGGGCCCTCTTGGAAGCCTCTTCGGCTATCTTGGAGCTGTCTGGGAGGCCTCTTCCTCCTCCTCGTCCCCCTCCTCCTCCTCCCACTCCACTCTCTCTCCTCCTGATCTTCCTCCTCCTCCTGCAGCGTGTTCCGGAAGGCTCCCGCCGGAACATGCTGTGCACAAGTGCTGTCACTGCTCCCGCCACCGTGCCCTGGGTGGTGGGTCAGAGGCCTCATGGGTGTTGCTTTGGATCTCGTGGTTGGCCTGTCGGGGACGTCGTGAAGGCAGTTTCGCAGCTTCTCGGTAGCCGTTTTGGGACCGTTGTGGGGCCTCCTCGGGGCTGTTTTGTGGCCTCTGTAGGCCTCGTTTGGGCCTCCTGGGTGCCTGTTGGGGGCATCCTGGGGCCTCTTGGGGGCTCCTTGGGGCCTCCTGGGGCACTCTTCAAGCCGGAGGGTCGAATTTTGGAGTCGTGGTCCCCCTCTTGGGCGCATCTTGGGGCCGTCTTGGGGCTCTGTTGGGCTGTCTTGGGCGACTCTGGGGCCGTCTTGGGGCCCTCTTGGGCCGTCTTGGGGCGCTCTTGGGGGCCTATTGAGCCATCTTGGAACGTCGGACAGCCGAAAAGGCTGGAAGGCCAAAATCGGTCGAAAACCTTCGTAAAATTGACGATTTCGGCCTCTGGAAGCGCTCTGGAGAGGCGTCTTGAAGCGTCGTGGAGTGCCTTGGGGCGCCTCTCGGGCCGTCTTGGGCCTATCTTGGGCGTCCTGGAGCGGTCTTTCGGCGACTCGGGGCCCGCTTGGGCCGTCTTGGGGGCCTCTGGAGGCCCTCCTGGCCCATGGGGGGTCGGAGGCGGCGGCCTCCGAGGCCCAGGACGCGGAAACCCTGTAAACGGAAAATGAGCCCTGGTCCCGCCATGGGGGGTGGAGGCACCTGTCCTGGGGCCCCCGGCCTCGCCCCCAGGGATATATATATATATATATATATATATATATATGTGTGTGTGTGTGTGTGTGTGTAGATGGGGACCGAAGGATACGAGGACGAAGGAGGACAAGTGGGGGACCCCTGTCCCCCCCCCTCCCCCGCCTTCTTCGCGCCGCTCCGGCGGCGGAGCGCGCCTCGGGCGCTGCCAGCGACACGCCAGGCGAGCTCGGGCGCCCTGCGCCACCACCGCGCGCGGAGCCTGCCGCCGCCGCCTCGCGGCCGTGCCGTCGCCGCCGAGGCCCCCGCCGAGGCTCTCGCTCCGTGGCCCCCGCGGCGCGCGGAGCCTTCGTCGCTCCGAGTGCGGGCGCGGCCCCGCGGGCGGGGCCCCGCCACCCCGAGAGGTACTCGGAGCTTCCTTCTCGGTGGCCTTTCTCCTTGGCCCTGCAGCCCTCTTCCTCCTCGTTGGCCTGCCTGCCTCCCTGCTTGCCTTCCTCCTCGTTTGCCCTCCTCCTCGTTCGCCTTCCTCCTGCCTGCGCCTACCTGCCGTCCACCTCGTTTGCCTCACTCCTCGTTTGCCTTCCTCCCGCCCGCCCGCTCCTGCCCTCATAATCCCCCCCGTACTGTTCCCCAGAGCCACTCTTGCTGCTCTGTCAAGAGGCCTGGGGCCTCCTCCTGCTCCCCCTCCCTCCTTTCTCCTCCCCCCTCCCTCCTTCCCCCCGTTCGCTTCGCGCGCTGGGGTCCTCCAAGCCGCACCCGTGGAGGCGGCGTGCTGTACCGGAGGCTGCTGCTGCCTCTGCATGTGCCGGTTCACAAAGGCCTTCAGCGGCCGTGCCTCAGTCTAGGCAGCCCTCCTCTTCCTCCCCGAAGGGCGAGGAGGACGGGAGCGAGGAGGATGAGGAGGGCGACAATGACGAGAGCGAGGAGGATTCTTCTCCTCTCCTCTCCTCTCATCTCCTCTCCTCGCCTCTCCTCGCCTCTCCTTCTTCCTCCCCGAAGAGCGAGAACGAGGAGGACGAGAACGAGGAGGGTGAGCGCACGTCGGCCTGGGGGGCGATTTGCATGTGCGATTCTATATCTATAGCTAGACACACACACACATATATATATATACACACATAAGTGCATATCTCTCTCTATACGGGCGATTTCGGAAGTCCAGACCCCCCCAAACATCATCTCTTGCAAAACACAGATTTTACTTCCGACGCCTTCCGCCACCCTTCCGCCGGCTTCCGCCGCCCTTCCGCCGGCTTCCTTTTTTGGAACGCTACACCCTCTAATAGTCCTTATGGATGTCTTGCGACGGGCCCGATGAAAAACTACCGATATCTCGGCGCAGCATAATTCATTCAAGACGAATTAGCTGGGGCCAGGAGGGGACGCAGAGGCAGGGAAGACGGGAAGCACTGGCCTACCGCCCACAAGGTCCCGCCCCCGAGCACCCCCTCCTCTAAGGGGATGGCACTTCGAGAGCGGCCGCAGCGGGACCCTCTTGTCCCGCCGCAGGCCCTCGACCCAAAAGGTACCTAGCTTCCTCGGTCTCTTGGGACCGTTCCAGATCTGAAAAACCTATACAACCCACGGGGCTCACTGGAGGTCTCGGCAGGGGCATTCACTTCAGCTTGGGGCGCTTGGGGTGTTTCTCGCCGCCGTCGCCGCCGCCCCTGAACTCCAGCTTCACGAGCTCCTTCACTTCCCTGCTCCTGAGGGCGGGATCGTCCTCGAGCACCACGTTCACTGACAGTACGGCCAGGCCTCCGTTCACCTTCAGGCAGTACATAGCCTGCATGAGAGGAGGATGCGCCATAGCAGCGAATATCAGCTTGGTTCCTTCCACCATCTTGCCGTCGACGTCGGTCATCGCCTGGACGTCGAAGCAGCGAGTCGCTACGACCTGCACCTCCTTGCTGTTCAGGCTCTTGCCGAGTTCGACCGCCAGACGCATCGCCTCCTTCGACTCGGCTGGATGTGGCCCCTGGGCCACTGCTGCGCGAACTTCCTCGAGCTCGCCCTCGATCGCCTCGCTCATGCGGGACAGCAGCGCGCGGAGGAAGGCATCGGGCTTCTTCCCGAGCGGGTGGCCGCGATACTCGCTGGGCTGGTCCGCAGCGCGCGCCTCCTTGCCAGCCCTCTGGTAGTTCTGGATGCACGCTGCGAGTGCCAGTTGCATCTGAGAGCCCATCTTCAGCTTCACCACCACGTTCTGGTCGCACTCCGAGCCCCCGAAGTTGTCTTCGTGGCGTGGCGGCAGCTTCGTCATGAGCTTGTCCTTCTTCGGGATGCCCGACTGCTCTACGTCCTCGTGTTCGGCTCCGCCCTCTCCGATCTTGGCCTTGGTGGCGTCCCCCTTCTTGATGATGTCCGCCGCGGGCTCGAACATCGGGAGGAGGCGCCGAGGGCGGCAGCGGTGGCCCCGCAGGTGGGTCTGGAGCACGCTGAGAGCCGACGCGCTGCGGGCAACGGTGTTGAACGTGACGAATAAGGACATCTTTGCGAGAGAAAGAGGCTCCGCAGAAGGGGCATCTCTTAGCATTCAGATCGGCGATGGGGATATCCAACCGATTGGCAACAATGTCATGCACCGCAAACCTGTGATTCTCCAATCCCTTCTGGCCCTGGCATGCTTTTCCACAATCTGGGCAAACGAGGCGGCGCTCTTCATCTATGACGCCAGCTTCGCGGATTTGGTCACTCTCAGCTTCATGTGAGAGGACGACTTTGAGCTCTGCGTGTGAGAGCATGTCAAGCCACTCCAGCCAGTCTCGTGAAACTGTCGGTGAATCGTTCGGAGCGCGCGTCTGGCTCTCCTCGGGAAGGCAAGCCCATAACGCACGAAGATCTGCTAGAAGTTGCCCAATTCGACAATTGTGATTTCGGCCATGGGGGTCCTCGAACGAGAGTCGGCCGAAAATTACAGCCCGTACTGCCTCGGTGGGGTCATACTCTAATCTTTCTGCTTGGAGCCCAGGAGCAATCACGTGTCGCCACCATTGCAGCCTACGATACAGTAGGGTTGAACTCATACTGTAAACTTTGGCACGGCGCCGAATATCTACGTTAGTTGCATGGTGAAGATGAGCAGGGGAGCGGAGAATATGCCGAAGTTTCTTGGTTTGCCACCGTTCAAGTTTCTTCAAATCCGTCTTCGTGAGGAAGGCAACTTCTAGTGCGTAGAGGGCAATAGACCGTACTAGCGAATTCCACAGGCGTATCTTGAGACGTAAACTGAGGTTCCCCTTCAGAACCTTCTGAGACAGCCGGCCGTGGGCCTGGTTGGCGGAGGTCAGGCGAGCCTTGACTTCAGCCGAATACGACCCTGTCGCCGAAAGCAAACAGCCAAGGTACTTTACTGTCGGCGTCGGGTGGATCGCACGGGCCTGGCCGTCGGCGTGGGTCAAGCTAATGCCAGTCTGCTTAGCACTGATTCTTTTCCGTACCCGTCTGCACCCCTTCCCCACCACGTTCACCATCAGCTCAGTTTTCGGGACATTCATGGTTAAGCCGCTGGCATTAACGTGGGTTCTCAGAAACTCTAGGAACTCGGAAACCATCGCTAAGTCGTCGACCACTGTCATCGCGATTAGGTCGTCTACGAACTTCACCTGGGACGCATCTAGCATCCGCAAGTCGACGGTGGAGAAACCGACTGAGTTCCTGAAGACCTGGAACTGGGGGTCGTACAGCACCTGGATACCTTGAAATCCCTCCTCCAACGCCTTGGACCCGATGTCTTTGGTAATGAGATCGTAGATAGCGATGAAAAGCCCAGGCCCCTCCACACTGCCTTGTCTCACCCCTTTGCGAATAAGTAGTTGCCTACAAGGTTTGTTAGTACGGGCATCTCGAAGGATATAGCAAGTCCCGTTGTAGAGCTCCTCAGTAACTAAGCGGGTACTTCGGGAGAGCGCCAGCCGATCTAACGCCTCCCAAACTTGACTTCGGGTCAGGAGGTCGAAGGCCTTCTCGAGATCGATCAATACTGCAATCAAGATGCGATAGTCGGACTTGGTGCGACGGGGATTCTCACGAAAACGACGGCCGATCTCGTCGATGAGGGCGATGGCGTCGCGAGTCGATCGACCTTGAAGGGCCCCAAACTGAGTAGCGGAAAGCCGGCCTGACATTGCCCGCAGCTCGGGCATGATGACCACATTGGCGAAAGCCTTACCGACGTGGCCAATCAGGTTGATCGTCCTATAGTGATCCTTAGCATTCCTCCCGTCTCCTTTGGGTTTGCGTAGCGAAACTGTCTCTCCGTTTTTAAACCTTTGTGGAACGCGGCGGAAGGCTTGAGCGGCCCGAAAGACTCCAAGTAGGGGCCCCCCTACTAGGTCACTGCCAAGTTTCCAAAGTTCAGCTACTGCGCCTTCAGGGTCTGGTCGAGGCCCATTAGAGGTTGAGGGGTCCGTCCACTTCAGCACAGGGGCGCTCTTGAAGTTGGGGAGCCTGCTGAGGGCCTCGGTGACGTCGTCCACTTCGTACTGGCCTACGAGCTCCTCGTCGGGTTCCACAGGGATGTCCTGGGGGCCTCCATCCTCCTGCATGGGCAACTCTGTGGCCTCAAAAATGTCGCAGAGTGCATCGGTGCGGACCTGCTGGTCCTCGACGTCGTCGAAGCACGGGTAGCCCGTTGCTGGGTTGCGGACAGTTAGCATAGGCACGCGGGGCTTGGGCGCAAGGCGCTTGACGATCGAGTAACAGCGTCTGATATCATGGACAGCATCGGCACGCTCAGCGTCGGCCACCAGGGCCGCAATGTGCTGTCGCCTCTCCGATCTCACTGCCTGCTTTGCTCTCTTTGCCGCCCGTCGAAACTGCGACAAGATGGATTTGTAGAGCCACGAGCTATGATCTATGACATTGGGAAGCATTCTCTGAAAGTACTGCTTGTGTCTGACCAACTCCAAGGTCGCGTCAGTGAGGTTCTTCTGTGGAGTCGCCTTCGGTGAATCAACATAGAGCGGGTAAGCTGCGTCAACTACTGCTCCTTCCACGGAGTTGAAATAGCTAGATGTCGTGGTATATCGTTGGTGGGTGCCACACTCACGTTGCCAATGTCCAGTGATGTCGCGAACTCGGAGCTCGTGGCGGAGCCTACAGCGAAAGTCATGTACGCGTGCTGGTACCTCATCCGAGTATTGAAGAATCTTGAGATCATGAAGCAGAAGGTCGCGGTTCCACCGAACAGGTAGGTCCTGGCGAAGCCGCTTGCATCTAAATCGGGCTGAGATCGTGGCTTCGATAGGGCGGTGGTCACGAAATCCTCCCATGCTGACGGGCAGAGAATGTAGTACGCGAGCTCCATGTCCGTAGCCTCCTTGCAGTCTGGTGCAGACGTAGTCTATCTGATTCCATGTGATGCCATCGGTGTGAAGCCAGGTCCCCGCATTCTTCTTACGGCTGCCATGAGTATTCAACGCAGTCAAACCGTTGTTCTGAAGGACAGAAAGAAAGTGGCCGCCGTTCAAATTCGTGGTTCTCGGGTGTCTGTCAACTCCAGCAAGGCCGACATTAGGAAGTTCAGGCGCCACCGTACCATTGGCATCAATACACCAAATCAGTGATGATCTCTGGGGCACTCGTCGTATGATGTCGTCACAGGTCTGCCAGAAGACGGCCTGCGCTTGTCTATGTTCAGCTTGTACACGGTCTCTGACAGCTGCCGCCACATGTGTGCTCGCCGTGTTGGTTGGCGCGTAGCCGTTCAGGATGTAGAGGTCTCGCTCACGGGCTCCTGTGCGTCGAATGCGGAGTCCCAGTAGTCGGCCAGGTATCCATTCATGGACGCAACGGACCTCCAGCGGGTCAAAGAAGCGCAGGTTAAGCGCCGTC